GAAAATCCTGCGGAGAAAATTTACATGTGAAATCACAACAATTAAATAACCTTAAAAACATCAATGGTTTATATTCAGAATTGATGCTATTTGTTAGTTAAAGAATGTGAAGTTAGGTACAAATTACGCTGACGCCTTAAACTATTTTCATACACATAAATATTTTTACTATAAAAAACCTTGTATTGTATCAGCGAATCCTCAAGCTGCAAGCAATTCACAAACTTGTTTGTCACTCATTACAAGAAAATTATAGGCGTTTTGCACTATACTGCTTAGTCCATGTAAACGATTTTAACCTATACCATGAACACGCTGCAATTGAGGATCACGTGGGTATGATGAATAAAAGGCATTGGTCTATTCTTAATTTTAAAAACCTTTCTCTTTAAATTAATCAACATAATACTGAAAAAACATAGGTTCAAGTTTTTAAACCCTCGGTTATGATTTGTTTTTTAATATTTTAAATATTACAATTTTGTTAAAAATAGAAAATGTATAAAACAAAATAAGTAATATACAAATATCCTTATAAATAGTTACAATACAAAGAACTTTACGAATCATTAAAAAACAAATAACAAAGATAAATAATTAATGTTGCAGTAAACATTTTAAAGAATCTTAAGAAATTTCAATTTCTAGGTTTAATTGTTAAAAAAAATGAGAAAAATGAAAATAATGAGTACCTAAACAGAAATGGAATGTTGTGGTCAGACCAGCAAGGACATTTTAGTAGTAACGGAAGTTTTTTGTCAGTCAATTTGTAAACTCATTTTCTATACATTTAGTTGAAAATAAAATTTTTATTATTTCGCGCAGTGTAGAATGAAATTATTTACTTCAACTTTCAGAATTCGACACACTATATACGTAATTTTTATTATTATTTCAAAAAGCGTGAGATTTTTTGAGAATTATTCAAAAATACGCATCTAGATAATTAATATCTAAGGGTATTGTATTTAAAGTCTGGAAATACAAAACTGAGAGATAAACATTTTACATTTCATTTTCCCACGTGCATGTTAAACTTGTGAGTAAAACCTGATCGATTTTCACAGCAACTTTCTTTCGAGTTATACATGCCGAGTACCTACATTTTCCTCGTTATAATAATATTTTTATACTATGTATACCGTATGTAAATTTATTATTATTTGTATAAAAAGAATGATAATTTTGAAGAAATGATTTACTTGAATATGTCAATGTTTGAGCATCTTTTTCGCGAGTTGAATACACCATTATTTTCACTACAAGAATAAGCATAAAATGAGATTGGGATCTTAATAAACGATTGAAGCTGCGAGAATAGCGGAGGTGTCTACGGAAAGTCTCTAAACGATAGGACTCTCCTCCAGCGCGATATAAAATGTCTAGGACAAGACTGTTGGCGTATCGCAGAGTCGACACAAGCCAATCTCATGCCCCCGGCGAATCATGAAATCCCCTTTAGAAGCGTGTAAATTACTTTTTTATGGTAAAAAAATTTATAATAAAAGTTTACTGTGATAAGCGATGAGTCATAAAGGGCCTCATGCAAATGGCATAAATTTACAAGACGATTTACCCTTAAGATCGTCTACTATTACATAAAATAATGTCTGCATCTTGCCACATATAACTTCTTCAACATGCAAATTAATTGCTCATAATTGCCCCAGAATAACTAATATCACTTTAATTAATCCAATTACAAAGATAATTACCATATTCTTCAAATTATCAAATAAAAACATTTAAACATCAAATAAAAGTAAGCTAAAGTAAAAAATAATAATTTACAGTAAAAGTGCTGTTGCATAACGTCACGAATTTTTTTTACCATATCAAAAAAGTACAACTAAGCACTTTGAATGAAAAAATAAATGTTTAATTTACCATAGAATTAACATTCTTTTTTTTGAAAATTTTTAACTATCTACATTCTTTTAATTAATATGCGAAAAAATGTTTTGAAAAATAATAAAATATTCGCTTTAAAGTTCAAGGAGCTGATCTTGTAACAGACTTAATTAGTGTTAACGACATTTTTGCTGCAAGGTCAACTTATTGTATATAGTACTTTTAAGGCTGTTATTATAATTTATGGACTTTTAAATATATTTTAATAATAAATTTTCGAAATTCTATAAAAATAAAAATATTAAATGTTTCTATAACAAAAAAACAAATTAAGATAATAATTATATTGAAATTTAATTTCAAATGCCAATAATATTTGCTTTTAAATATTTTTTATTAATTAATCAATTATTTTGAATTGATGGATTGATTTCCAAATATTATTTAATTTTTATTAATTAAAATCATAAAAAAAATTTATATTTTCCCCCACGCTTTAAAAATCAACGTCCAAGGTTCAATTTTTCATCGTTATAAGTGACTCGAGTACTCCTTTCACATCCATTTCGTGACATTTTGCACCTTCTGTCCCCTTGAGAATGTGGAATGTAAACTTTTATATTAATCGAAAGTGGGATTGAAAACACTATATAGTCGGTCGACCCTGATAATAAAATTGTGAATTGAGCAAAAATGTTTCTCTTTACCACGTCATGACCAGAATCGCGCCGGCGTCTTCGTGGGCTATACGAAAACCCCTTTCATATTTTCACTCTTCGCAATTACCGGACACCCGGAGTCATTTTATATAACTCGGTTTCATAACATTCGTCCAGGGTTACCGATACTGAATAAAAAAAAACCTCGAAGGAAGCGGCAGACATATGCGCATACACATACAATTATATCCACATACGTATACATATATTCGAAGCTTTAATAATAATTTAGGTCCCGCAAAACACGGAAACAGTTTCCTCGGTTTACATAAAAAAAAATTATTAACAAAATCTATATAAATAGAGGCTTATAAATGCGGTATTTAAAAGTTGTAAATACTCTCTGTGTGTGTATATAACCGAAAAATTTAAATTGGAAGAGAAGAGGATTATTATCACACTGCAAGGATTTTATGGAATTGTTGAAAATAAGGAGGAAAAACTTTATTTCCTTGGAATAGGTTATGGCTTTTTTTTAAGTACTAACATTTCAACGCAACCTTTCAATTAATTCCCATATTTAAGACACATTAGAGGTTTCATTTTTATTTATATATTAATGAGATGGATATTTCATATTTTTATAGCAAAGTCAAACTGACTAGAAATAACCTAAGGAGATATACATATAGTTAACAGGTGAATTAATTAATGTTTAATAATCAATTTCGCAAGTAATGATCAAATTAATATTTATGTTTAAGGAAGAAACGGACTGACAGTCAAAACAAAAGTTAGTCCAACTTGACATTTTTGTTAAATAAATAATGTTTTGATAATTAAAACGTTTTTCAGTGTGAGCAATTTATTTGAAAACATTGAATAATTTAAAATTGTATTTGAAAAACGATACAAAAAATTTCACAGCACGAAACAATTTATTGAATTTTAGGTTATGTCACCTAAATAGTTTACTTCGTTTTCTAATCCTTAAGGTTATGTGACTGAGGTCTGTAATGTTAATTTGTCTGTAACTTTTCTCGTAAAATACTAAATGGTTTAAGTTGAAATTTTATGAAGGAGATCAAAATATAATAAGGAATGGTTTTCAAGTGTGAAAATGTTGATATATTGTTAAATAATTATTATAAAATACTTGAAAATTGTTAGAAAATGTAGGGTTAAGAGTATCGTATTTTCTAACAATTTTTATGCCTTTATTATATTTATTTAACAATATATCAACATTTTCGCACTTCACAATCATTCTTTATCATATTTTAAATTCCTCCACAAAATTTCAGCTGAATCCATTCAGCATATTACGAGAAAAGTTACGGACAAATTAACATTACATACATAAAAGTCACATGACCTTAAAGTACACACTGGATACAAATAGCTCAGTGTGTATCGGACATCAGAAAAACGTTTTTTGTAAAAGAATGTAATTATTTTATAATTATAATTATTTAAATCTCTTGACAATCATCAAAAACCAACACAATCATTTAAATAACTTATGAATATGTTTTTAAGAAGGTTACAGTGATTTTAAGAATAAAAAGTGAAATAATTGAGTTTGGTAATAGAATTTTTTTTTTTAAATATTATATTTCTATTATACATTAAAAAATTGAAAATAATATGCTAGGTACATAAAATTTGTTAGAATTTTCTCAAATTTTTCAAATATGCAATAAAAAATAATAAAAAAATTTACGCTAAGAAAATCGTAAACATATTTTTTGACAAATTAATTTTATATCAATAAAACTATATTTTTCATCTTCCTGAAAAAATGTCCTCTCATTGAAAAATAATCGACTGAATTGAGTTGATTGAGTTTTCAAAGTATTTCGGGGTACAAATCGAATGTATGTTTTTTAATTGTGTACTCTAAGGGTTAAAATACAAATTTTAATTAAGATTCGAAATGTTATTAACTAAATTCCACTAAAAAATACTTCATAAAAGATTAAAATAATCCATTTTTTGGATTAAATTCGTTTTTGGATAAATATAATAAATATAATAATAACAATAATAATAATAGCGTTATTCAGAAAAAAAATTATTTGAAACAACCAAATGCATAATTATTGGAAATTCAAATTTTGTTTGGTGCAAATAAAATTTTTTTTTGAAACAAAATAAATATTCATTTATCTCTGACAATGAGATAAATTTATATTTTTCTCTGGATGTGTTGTATATAATTTTACAGAAAATAAAAATTTGGAAATATGTAATGTTTGTCATCTTCAATATTTAATTTGAATTAAAAAACATTTTGTATTTAAATTTTTATCAATTCATATAAATAACTTTTTATATTTGAAAGATATAATATGTACACTATATATATGTAATAGATATTAGTGAATATTTGAAATACATAAATATATAATTTTATGAAATGAATGTGAAAATAAATGTCTAATTATTACATATATTAAATATAAAAATGATGAATTATTGTTTCTATAGGCTCCAAAAAAGGATACAAAGAAATTATCAAATATAAATGACTATAAAAGAAGGAATTTAGGAATTAGTGAAGAATGTGGAATTTGATGAAGGCAAAAGTATGACATCTTGTGTCATGTCGACATTATATATATAAATGTATCATTTAGAGTCTGACTAATGGAAGATTGTGCAAGTAATTGAAGAAAAATGATAAAAAGCGAAAATTCATTGGATTTTTTAGAGAAATTTCATCAAAGCATATATGAAATACATCGTACTTGTGTGTGTGTGTGTGATTCAGAGGAAATTTTACCAAACCCATCACGAACCTGACCTACATATTCGTGTTGCACGTGTGACAGTCGAACGTGTCTTCCAACTTCTATGCCGACACTCGCCAAGGTAAATAGGTTGTGCATGCATTGATTAAAAATAACGAAATTGCATGAGAGAAATCGACGTTCATTTTTATGAAAGCCCCACAATTATTTTCATGAAAACGCGAAATAATTGAAATCCATTGCGCTTTAGAATTTATTTCACTTCTTTCATTTCTCTCTTATTAAATCAGAGAAAAAGTCTCAATTAAATTTATAACATTTTCCACGAAATGAATTTTAGAAAACTCTGACTTATTTCGTTCAAAGAAAGGTTCTATTTTGTAATTGTATACAATAGAGAACAGTTTCTTCATAAAGACTATTTTTTTATAAACGAAATTATAGATAAATTTAAAAAAATTTCATTAAATTATATAATATAGGTTTTGAATTGATACAAATTATATTTATCTCTTAAAAAAAAATTAAAAAAAGAAAACAAAAGTTTCTGTCTCGAGTTTGTGTTACTTCCTACATAAAAAAGGCGAACAAAAAACTGTAGTAAACACTGTAAAAAAATGTTGAATGGTTGTTGCACACTTAAGTGTTTATTTTAATTCTTCTCATATTCCGCCCAGACATGATATTTTGCCGGTAATATTTTTCACGCCTAATTGAGGCTTGACGGTGAATTCAAAAAGTAGTTACGACCATGCACAGTCGGACGCACTGCGGTCAGCAAATGTCAGCTAGTTTTTACTTGAGCCATCGCATCGTGTGTGTTGTAAAGTTGCGTAAATTAGCGCACACACTAACTTAACGAGTAGGAATCCGCGCTTTTTTTCGTCGTCATTTTGACAGGAATGTTTTAGCGCCAGGAAAAAACAAGTTAAGACATTTATCAAATAAATTCATATGGTTCTTTTTGTTACTTGTGTGAGCCTCATATAAATGAGAAATTGAGTTTCTGCAATAATAATTTGCGAAGATGATTCGTAGCTGTGCTTTCTAATCAGTGTATATACTTAACATTCCAGCATTAAAAACAAATTGCAAATATTCTTACATAAGTTAAAAAAAGTTTGACTTTTCGGAAAATATGTATAACGCATTTTATAGTGGATACATAAAATTGGCACACTTTCGTTAATATATTTTTTACAAAGAAATAAAAATTGTAAATATTATTATTATTATTATAACTTTAATAATTAGTATAAAAATTAGCAACTTTCAATATAAAACTATAACGAATTTTCACAATTTTTATAAAAGAAATAAAGATTACTATTTCCTTATAATGAAGTCAATAAAATTCTTTGTTGACTCAACCAAATCAGTTTATGTAATAATAAATCTTTTTATAATACCGTTATTTCCCTTTTTTTAAATAAATGAAAATGATAATTGGGCAGAGAAAAGAAAAGTTGTAATAACTTAAAAAGTCTTTAAGTCGTTTTCTCATGAATATAATAATATTTTTTTTAGCATAAAAATAGCAATATAGGAATGAAGCGCAAAACAGGTCACGTTCTACAAATCATCATTAGTTTGCAGCGCGAAGCAGTAGATTATCCATGGACTGCTTCATGTGCGCGCACCATCGTTTCACTCAAGAAAGAAAGTCGAGCAGTCGCTGTAGAAACGTTTTCGAAAGACTCCGTGGAGGCCATTGTGATCAAAATGAGAGCAATCGATATACGCAAAATAATATTACCTAACTGATTATGTACACTTTCGTGTGTCGAAATATTTTCAGTTTCTGATCTTAGAAAGCAATAAATTCCAACGTTTCTATTTTGCCCTAAAGCACCCAATGGATTTCTAAAACACAAATCTTTCGATCTTTTTAAAAAAATATGGTATATCTTATTTTTGTGAACAATTAATCTTGACTTGCCAATATATATACAATAATATTGATTTACAATGATTGTCTATTCAAATTTATTGCTGAACAAATTTTTCAGATTCAAGAGAGTAAGAAGAAATAATTTTCAATACTTTCTAAAAAATTTTTTTTTATAATTTTCAATGAGAATTTTAGAAATGGCTATCGATTAAAAAAAAATATTATAACGGTAATTTTTTTTAGTTTTCGAATCTAAATCTTTAGGAATTAAATCAACAAAATATAAAAACAATTTCTTACGAAAGAAAGAAAAAGAATTAGAAAAACAGCTTTGGCTTTTTAGACAAATTAATTGGAAAGTCTATAAAGAGTACAAAAGAATATATATTTCAGATTCAATAAACTTCCAAATTTGTGAAAGTCTTGAAAATATTTATAATTTTCTTCGAGAACCTTTTTAAAGTTTTTTTTTATATATATAAAATTTCTAGAAAATATTAGAAAATTTCTCGTTTCCTTCAATTGCAAAAATAAAAAAATTATATAGATAAAAAAAACGTGAATTAAAAATATAGCGCCTAACATTGGAGAGCAAGCCCAAAAATAAATGTCTAGCGAATAAAATAGAAAATAAAAGAATGGTAATTTTCAAGAGAGCCTCAATTATGTGGAATTAAAAAGCGATATAAACCTCTGCTCGCTAGTGCGAACAACGATCCATCAAGGATTAAGACACTAGATATATAGTAACGAGAGTATTTCAACTTCAGTCGTCTGTTAAATCAAGGGTAAAATTGCCTAACAATGGATCGTCAGAAAAAGTTACGGTTTAAACTTGTGGCTAATGTAATCGTTTTTTTTCCTCTCTCAAACCACAAATAAACTCTGTTTCCTTTCGATTTCTGAGGAAGATCGTTGAGTCGCATTACTTTCCCTTTTGATGGCGCCGAGCCTAGATTGATTGGAGAGGGGAGGTAAAAAGGGAAGAAAAGGTTGTTATTGCCTCTCGCGCATATGAGTAAATGATGAATCAAAAGTGACGGCTTTTATGGCTGTCACTTTATGCCAAATGCGAAACGGGATTCATTGTCAGAATTTCCCTGAAACCGCTAGCTTTCACTTCTATACGAAGAATGCGAAGGCTGTACTGCTGAGTGCAGCTACACCTAGAACATATAGTAGGTAGTGAATATACGTACGATGCTCTTTTTCTCTCTTTTTAATTCTCTCTCGTTTTCTCGCTGTCTTTTTCTCTCCTTTCAGTCCTTCTTTTTCGTTTTCTTTCCAGTCTGTTGAGCAGGACGGAAAAGGACAACAAACGACAAAGTGCAAAGGATAAAAAAAAGAGAGAGAAAGAAAGAGAGACATGTAAAGAGTGAGATAAGAAAAAAAGGGAGAAGGAGAATTAAACGAGACTGTCCGAGAGATTTGAACGAGTGGAAGAAGGAAACTGGTTATATGTATATAGCCGACGCGTAGGCAGAGTCTACATACGTAAATACTCGCAAAAGGGTATTTCTATCTCTCCTCTGCTTCATTTAAGTCTCTCCTATATATGTGAGTTGAGTTCCGAGTCTCCACCCACGCCATATAAAACCATCGTCCCGAAGAAGAGTCTGACAAGAGGGAATCCCGTGAATGATGAACCTGCGAAACGTGACGGCTTGCCAAGGACCTGCCACGCCACCAAGTCCTATGATCGAAAGCCATTTGTGCGCGTCCGAATCAAAAGGTAGACTCACAAGATGTCAACCAGTTATCCTTTCTCAAAAACAAATTTACTGATGGCACCCGGTTCTTCAACCCCATACATCCTGTCAGCGTAATCCGTTATTTACTACTATTCCATATTGCATTCGAAACCAACGATAATAAATCTTGCACAACTTGAAAATAAAAAAGAAGACTTCACATATCGCTTGGTTCAATAAACCTCATCAGGTGTCTTTTTGTTGCCCTCTTACTTTCGGTGATCTGGTTTCGTCGGCTGTTTCATTTTCGAAACAAGGTGCCAGTTTTTAAGTTTTATTTTAGTCCCTACTGAATTCTTGTTCCCCAGAGCAGAATCTTCAGAGACGTGCATTTTGTGTGTCCAACCGATTCATCAAGCAGGTGACAAATTTACAATGTGTGTTTGTAACATTTTGCATTATGTCAAAACAAGACAAAAAAAATTTATGACATCAAAGCATGCAACTAATTTTTTAATTCTTATATAATAATAAGTTAGCATTTTTAACAAATTTTCTTTAAAACCTTTTAATCATCAAAAACTATTCCTTTTTTCTATGTTAAAAGATTTAAATACAGCAGAAAAATTCGAATATTGATTCCCAAGTAATGACTTAAGGTAGTAGATTTTTTGTTTACTTTCAAAAGCGTAATCTCTTTTTAAAGAGTTTTGTTTGTTTTAATCATTATAAAGATTCTAAAAATTATCTTTAACTTCAATTAATCTTCGAATTTAAATATTTTTGTGAGTGATTGAAAACACAATTACACACTCAAGATGAACGCATCAGTGATCTTTATATCCTTTATTTTAAAATTCGTATTCTGTAAAATTAATTCATTTTAAAGTGACAGTTCCATTTAAACATCACCGTCTCAATTTAAAAAAAGGCATATTAAAATACGGACAATATATTTTCCAAGGGCAATGTAATTCAACGTTTTCTTTTAAAGAAATTTAGATATTCTTTGTTGCATTAAATATTTGAAAATTTATTATTTTAAAGGTATCTTCTTTATATGTATATTAAATTTACTGAAGCTGGCAATTAATTATAAATAATATATGAATAACTTTTGAAAGATGTTAACACATTAAAGTACATTTTCTCGACAGTTTTAGTTATTACAGAGAATAATATTATTGTTGAAGAAACATTGCAGCTGAAAATGTTGAAGAAAAACGTTAGCAGTACCAGTATACACACACTGCAACCATGATAAATAGTAATGTCGGATTTGAAAAACAATGTTGGAGAAACAAGTCTAAACACTAAGATTGAGATGCAAGCTATAGAGAACAATGTTAGGAGTAGAGAATGTTGTGAACTATTGTTTAAGAATAATTATGGAGACCAATTGTTGATAGGAATGTTGTACAATAACATTGTCAGTATATAAGTTTGTAAAGTCATAGAGTTTAGAGAATTTAATATTGAAAATTTATGTAGATTCTATAAACCGACATTAATATAGGAAATAATTATACATTCAAAGCG